TAAGATTAGGATAAACTTAAGTTTTAGTTTTTCTCTTTGCTAAAAGACCAAGGTTTTCTTAAACATAAACTATAAACAAATGTTTTTTTTTAATCTTTAAAGGTAATCTGCCTAGAAAAGAGGAAATGATCACAAGAATGCTTATTTATCAAGTCTTTGATTATTTAAGAAAACGGGAGTCTAGTTAGTGTTAAAAAAGCTAAATTTTGCTCACAACTATGTGAGGTTCTTCTATATTTGCCTTTGAAATCTTTTACTGTCACTTTGGGTAAATAGATAATTATTGTTTCATAACGATCTGTGATCCTAATATGAAGTCTTTTGACCACAATGTAAGGTGTTTGAGAGAGGTCCTAGAATATTTCAAAGTTTTTGTGACAAATTAAACTAATCAGGTATGTTATTATGTGTTGTGTGTCACAGAAATAACCAAATTTCCTTGTCCTCTACAGTGTAATGAACTCTGATACAGTCACTGTTTTACTCTGATGGTACTGTAGATGTGCCTTATCTTCAGTGAGACTCCCATAAAGAACTCTAAGCATAGGTTTCTGATAAGCTTAAGATCATAAAACTGAATTCTTACCATGAAACTGGTAAGAATTTCTGAACTAGGAGAAAAACTGGATTCAACCCAAAACAAGAATTAATGACATGGAAATGAAAGAACTGAAAAGGGTAATTTGAAATTTTATGACTTTTTATTTACCACATTGCTGACTTTCTAAAATGCTTTGTTTTTCTAGATTAAAAAAAAAAACAAACTTTTTCTCTTAAATGACTTAGAGCAATTTGATAGAATACTACCACTGGAACAAATTGAAACTTGCATCTTTTTTCTACCTGAACCCTCCGTAAGTATTCTTATAATTATTTTCACAAGTTCAATTCTGTTCTCCTTGTAACAGGACACAATTGGAAACACTGGTTATATAACCAAGGCTTTGACTGGAATGTCACATTTGATACATGCATAAATTCAGATATGACCAGACAGCTTTAAGGAGCCAATAAAGCCCCTCAGAGATATCAGTTTAGTACCTTGCTTACAGAGTTCCCAGCAGCCTTACCAGGTGAGTAAATGTTGTTAATTCCTGACAAGTACAGGAACCTCAGGATATTTTGGGGACCTCGGGAAGAGAGGAATTCACCCAAATCTATAGGTATTGCAGAAGTTGTGATGATGTTTTGTTGGGGATCTGGTCTCAAGAGGCTGTTAAAGCTTCAACCTAGAAAAAGCTCCAGGCAAAGCAGGTTTTATTGCTATTCCTGCTGCACTTATATAAGTGATCAGGCCACGTTTTTTTGAAACTAGATTTTACAAACAAATGAGTTATTAATTTGGCTCTCTACGAAAGGTGATTATAGAATAAATAGGTTTCAGTAACATACCTATTAGATTCTAATACTGTTCATTATAATCTAGACTAGATCCTGATTTCTTCTAGTTTCCTACGATGCCTAGCTATATAACTCTCCACAAACATTTTTTATTTTTGTCCCAACCTTCTACATTGAGTTCATCTGAGAACTAAAACTGCCCTTTCCCCTGAAGCCCTCCAAATTAAATAGGAATAAATTTATGTAAACCTCAGAGAAATAAACACATCAGCATATACAGGCACTCTTCATGCCTTTTGCTCTGTGGGCCATTCCAAAAGATCACCAGAGACATTCAAACTACAAACCAGAGAAAATCTGTCAGACTGCCACTGCACTGAAGACGCTTTAAGCTTGACATCTAGAAATCTTCTCAACTGGCTACCCTCAAAACTCAGACACCAGCTTAAAATTTGATCTAATCACTAACTGCTCTTTGTGTTTCCACAGAAATGCCTCTTATTTAATACCTGATTGCTTGAACTATAGTTCAAGGCCTAACTCTGAGAACACACTTGCATCATGCCCCCCAAAATGAGTTTAACTGAACTGATCTACTGCCCAGGACTGGTTCAACCAGACAGAACAATCAACCGGCTCAATTTTAATGTGTGAAACTTGAGGGAAGTTTCAGAGGAGGAAACTGCAGGGGCCCAGGGCAGGCAGCCCCAAAGACAGGCCACTTTGGCATGAACATTCGTTGTTGAAGTTAAAATTCAGGAAAAGCTCTTAACCTTTCCCTCAACTGCCTAAATTTACATTGGAAAGGCGAGCCTGTACCATGAACAAGAGATACATCTTTACTGAAGAAACTTCCCTACGTAACAGGACCACCTTTATTTTCCAAACATTTCCTCTCACCTTCCTGCTAATATTCCTTACCCTCCTACCCCTCTCCTTACCTCATGTTGCTTGTGTTCAGAATTTCATGGCTGTGTGCATTCCCCATACATAAGATATTAAATTTGGTTTTCTCCTGCTAATCTGTCTCATGTCAATTTGGTTTTTAGTCCACCTAGGACTTTGGTGGCCAGAAGAAATGCTTCCTTCCCAATATATCAGTCCTGCACTGCTGGAAAAATCCTACTTGATCTCTTTATGTTATTGTACTACAGTACTAAATTCTATTAGCTAATATTTTATGTAGGATTCTTTGGTCTATAATAATATCTTTCCTTTTTGATGCCATCTTTGTGAGATTTTAGAACTGGGGTTATTTTAGCTTCTCATAATATGCATGCTTTCAGTTACATAATTTCAAATTCCAGGGATCTTTCTCACCATATTTTTCCTTTCTATGAAAACTAATCTTATCAATTAACATTCCAGAAACCACACAAGGAATCCTTGCATAAAGCATGTAAAAGCGTGTGAAAGGTAATCACATCTCCATCTGTTTAATAAAGAAATGCATATCGACTAAAATTCATCACATTCTGGATGTCCCAAGAAAAGTAGTACCTTTAATTGATAACAGTGGTAAACAGAAAGAATGAGGAGATACCCAACTCTACCGTCTAGTTTTTTAAGTCAACAGTAAGCTCTTTAATAAAATAAAAATCAAGTCTGAAAATTCAAAGGAAAACCAGCTGAGAATACAGGAAACCTGTTTCCAGCCAAACCCTAAACCCCTCAGGATGGTCTGGGCCCCCTGAAGCTAAATCCCAATCAAATCAGATTTCAGGGAGTCTATGCCAAGAAAAATACCACTTGGGAAGCAAGGCAGATGCCATTTGCCACTTGTTTATAGTACCAATCAACCACTTAAGCTATGTCATACACTCTCCCCTCCTGGACAGTCTCCAGAGAGTAAGGTCTTTGAGTATTACAGCATTCTGGAATAGGTAGTAAGTGAAATGCCAGAGGGGACTATAATAACCACGTATACAACCAATTCAGGAGGGGGGCACACAGTGCAGAAGGAAGGTAAGAAGCCTGAACAAACCAGGGTCTTTGGGTTTCCAAGATCATCTGGACTTACTGGGTTTTGTTAAACATTAGGAAATACTGTTCAAATATATATTCACATATTTGTACTAAAGAACATTTGTGGGTTTTTCTTAACTAATGTCAGCATTATTACTGTTCTCACTGAAGGAGTTATAAAATGAAGCCATGTCCAGTTTAGATAACCAGACTTTGACAACAACTAATAATTTCTCACTGCTTTCCTCGCTAAATGGTCAAATGTTTGTCTTATGATTAAGTTAGCTTGTGCTCACATGCCATCAATATAAAGAGAAAATAATCTGACATTTGATACCAAGTACACTGTGGTATTTTTGAAACCTGTAACCATGTCTTTTACAGGGAAGAGGAGCAGATGGGATTTGCTTAAATTTCTTCTGTTCAAAAGAGACCATCAATACTGTTGCAAAGGTGAGGAACTGAAAGCATCTACAAAATGTTTTCATACCCAGTTTCTTCCCTGTCTTACAGGAGTCCAGTGTCTTGGACAGCCACCCCGAGAGACTTCAACATACTACCTGAGGAACAGCGCTACAAGCACCTAGGCTGCTCCTTTTTTAACAAAACTAGATGCTACCCAATGTACCTGACACAGACAAGCCTGCTCCTCCCCCAACAGTTATTTTTACTAGGTGATGGTGGTGGTGGTTTTACTCTTTTCTACTTGGATAATTTGATTCTAGAGCAGTACTGCCCAGTAGAACTTTACGCAATAATGGAAATATTCTCCATCTATGCTAATACAGTAGCCACTAGTCACATGTGGTTATTGATCACCTAAGCAAATGAATTTTTAATTTTAATTTACATTTTTACCAACCACCTATGTGGTATGACTTCACCACAGTGGACACTGTAGTTATAGACCAATTAGAATTTTCTGTAGGAAAACTGTGTGTGTGTGTATATGTGTGTGTATATATATAAGTGGATATATATAATATATAAAATACTAAACATATAAAATATATAAAAATCCTTATGACAACACTCCCTAGAACAGCTGAAAGAAAAAAGAATTACTTTCAGTGAACAGACAATTCAGGGTATAAATTGTTATTTGCCTTCAGTGTAGAGGTAATCAAAGAACACACACTAGGCCCTCTTTCTCCTATCTTAGTTTCTTTTCATGATCAGTGAGAACAACTAGTCACTTTAGTAAATGGTCAGAAATCAGTCTTTGGCCTTGACTAAAGTAGTTAACACTCATCAAAGAAAAAATCTGTTCCAAATCTCATAGTCCTGCTTTTAAAATCAAGGCCTCAGGCTTAACCAACAGATGTAGCATCAATAGATTTCTAAAACTTAGTCACAGAAAAGAATAACACCCTAACTTAAAAAAATTTAGCTGAGTGTTCTTTCCTTCTATGGATACTAGTGGTATATCCACAAAATGAATTCTATTTCATTAGGTCAGAAACTGTTACAGACTCTCAATTTTAAATCAGTATTAAAGAAAAAGGTGAGAAATACCTTATGTCTGATTTAGTATCTCTGGCACACATTCTTTTGTTTGATAGAAAAAGACATTCAGGTTTGACTTTTGTTATAACACAAGTTCATTAAAGCAATTAACATCATAGCACATGTAGATGGAGTTTATGAGTCTATTCAGGTGGAAAAACAATTCTACAACATTAAAGTATCTTTACCTCGTAATGAACAAACTGGTCCATTTTCTTGATTCTTAGAGCGCTTATTTCTGAACTGACTTGGAATATCTAATGAAAGGTCTTAAAAGGAAATAGGAAAACAGCTGTTAAAGGTACATACCACACTCAAAAAAGAATTTCAAAAACTGGCATATTTGTACATTTATCTCTTTACAGTCATTTTAATACATTATTTTATCTCTACATGCCAAGTATGTCTTACCTAGGAATGGATCAAACTTTCTAGATTCTGTCCCACATATGAGGCAGTTAACCTCATTCTGGAGAATACCTCCGAATATAGCTGTGACAACCGTAGATGCTCCATTTCTAAAGAAAATCACCACAGAGGAAAATACCTCAGTAAAAAATGGAAAATATGTACAAAGCTCCCCTTTGGTGAAATACGTCATTTATTTAACAGATATTAAATATTTTATTTAAATTATGAAATACAAAAACTTTAACGCTATAGAGATATCTACCAAATAAAAGGTTTAAGCCACTGCCCCCCCTTCCCCCACTATCACTTCCAATTCCACTGATTTCTCCAAAAGTCACTAACCCTGGACATTTGTCATTACTAACAGATCACGCACATGCCTATACTCAGGACAAGAGGACCCCTTTACCCACAAATATATCCCTCAGAAAAAAGGGAAACCACCTTATATTCAAATTTTTGCAAAGTCTCTCATATGGAGCTCTCTCAATTACTTTGAATAACTTCACTCAGGGATAGTTTTAGATTTTTTACATGGTCAACTGTCAGGCTGAGGAAAAAAAGGTAAAGAAATTTAATACATAGTAATTACTGATGGAGGTATGACTTCACAGTTGAAGGCTAGATGTTACCGTCAACAAGCCTTTTAAAAAGCTCACTTAAAATAATACTGTAATTTCCTTGCTGAGATCAAGAATATAGGTTGAGAATGATTAAACAAAAAACCAAAACCAATAGCCCTAAAGTACTTAACTTTTTGTGCTTCAGCTTCATCACATGTCCCACAGGAATAACATCTACCTACCTCAGAGGCCTGGTGTGAAGATGAAATGGGAGTCTACACAGTGCTTTCAGACAAGAGCTTACCAAAAGGAAAGCCTTCAAATTATTTCAAGGCTTTTCTACTAGCATAATAATTAGGCTCATACCTGCATTTTGCTTTTTTTTTTTTTCAAAATATATGTCTTGAACACATACCTCACTCTCTTTGACAGCAGTATGGCATGCCACAGTACGAACACGTAATAGACGCAAGAACCACCAAGAAAGTACACCATGAAAGCAGGATTAGCAAACACTTAGAGAGCACTTAATCTATGCTGAACTACATTCAAAATACTTTCCATGTATTAAATCAATTCATCTGCAAAACAACTCTATGAAGTAGATACAATTATTCCCACTTCAGAGACCGGGAAGCTGAGGTCCAACTTGGCCCAGGGTCACACAGCTGATCTGGTGTGAGCAGATGCTCTTAACACTATGCTCCTTTTCTTAATTTAACCAATATAATGTGATGGCTTTTCAGGTGGTTTCAACTATTTGCTATCATTGATAGTACCTACCACAAACACTTGTGTATTATTAACCTTTGTGCACTTACGTATGCAGTTAAGTCAGTAAATGCTCCTTTTCTGCTGATAGCAATTTTAGGTGGTTTCTGTCACTTGCAAGCAGTAATACTTCTAACATACGTAACCGTACTTTCTGATTTGCTCCAAAATTAAACCCACTGCAACGGTGAGACAGACAAAACCTACTTGAGCAATTATATTATTTTAAATGTTTGCTTCCTTTTTCACAGAAAGGCTTCTGTTCCTTACTGGCAAAGAAATACACTGTTGCTTCACCTTTTTTAAAGTTTTTCATAAGATATCTAGATTTAGTAAATTAAAAAAGGGAAGATACATTGGAACTATGTGACATAAAGCCACTTCAGGTTTCAGGTGGAATATCTATGTCATAAAGGACTATGACCTTTTCATACTGATGTTCTCATACAATGACACCCTTAGTTAAAATGGAAACTGCTTTATTTCTTCCACTGAGAAAAGGATACTAATCAAGTCTTGACTATGCGATGTGTATGGCATTAAATGATTTAAAACGAGATTCATAAATAATTTCAAAACTGCTTTCCCATTTATTATAACTGTGTTATAAGAGTGTTTAAATATTAGCTACTTGGACAGCCTCACGCCGCTAGGGTCCTTTATATTGGCAGTAACGATTTTCTGTGTACTAAAAAGAACACGTCTGTCATTTATTTCTACCATCCCCACCTTCAGCAGGGCTGGATGTGTTTACACAAGTAAACAGTGCAGAGGAGACCTTTTTTGCAGTTTTAGCAAATATGATGCTTAGATCCTGAAATGATAATTTTCTTCTTTTTGTTCCTAACTCACTAATGGAACTTACAATTACTACTCTTTAAAATATCAAGAAAAGATTGAGCTAATGCTGAAAACTCATCAGTTACTAGATCATCCTAGGACTATTACACATTGTGACTCCCATGAGGGTGCCTTGGGCATCAAATAAAATAAAAACATATACCCTCTCACCTCACACAGACTACCCTTGATAAAGGCCCAGTTCAATATTCTTAGTGTATGAAATTCCATCATAAAATACAAAGCAGAAGTTTTCACTTAATACTACTGTCAACTTGGTGCTAGCATCAAGAAGAGTTCTACCAGGTCACAGATCCCTCCCTTTCTGTACTGGATTCTAACTGGAATCATAACCAGTAGGCCCCAGAGAGCCAAACATTTTGAAAAGCATGGCAATTCAAATGGTTGCCCTTCTCTGATACGGCCAGATTAGCTATGAGGCTGCTCTGTCATTGTAAGGACCCTAACTCCAAATTAAATCAGATTTGTGAACTGCAAGGCAATACTATAGTGACCCCCATATGTTACTTACTCTTTTCTTTCTGTCTCTAGGGAGTTTGTCTTGTAAATCCCTTTCCTGCACAGGTCAATACAAAAAATTTGTCTTGTAAATCCCTTTCTGACACAGGTCAATTCAAAAAAATTTGAACAAAAGGAGACTACACTTAAACAAAATCAGCCTGAAATAATAGCAAATCATCCCAACCTCAAGCAAAATAAACTTTCTAATCTCAATGTATATTTTGGGGTTTTAGTACCCGGGAAAACAATCTAAAAGGTTTGTTTTATTCCTACTGACAGGCAAGAAAAATTCTGAGAACTTACAAAGGCCTCAATTTCATTCAAGAACAAATGTAAGGAAAATTTACATTCAAAATATTTTAAGCCTTTGTTTCTACTGAATAAATATAATTATTTTAGTAAAGAAAATTAAGTCTCCCAAACATTATTCAATACATTTGGCAAGGAATTTTTAAATGCTAAATTGTACAAAATATTTTCTGTTCTTTTTCATATTTTAAAATATACCAAAAACAATCGGTACTACACCAAGAAGCAAGTACAGAATGCCTCTGGTATGGAAGCAGGAGGCACATGCTCACCCACTTGTTACTAAATTCAAGTGCCCAAAAATTTCACCAAAGATCCAGGAAAACTCTCCACCTTCCATTACAAAGCTAATAAATAGTAACACCAACAGAAATGTTTGAGGTCCTCCTAAAAACAAAAGAAGAAAACTACATCTTACATGCAACATTTGTTACTTCCAGACAGAGCAGAATTCTCCTGCAGAATTGCTGAGCGGGAAACGCCATTGAAACCACCCTGGAGTTCCAGGTGCAGGTGGTCCAAAAGGTATCGCATGAATTCATGGGCATCCTGTTGCTGATAGCCCCTAAAGCAAAAAGAAACAACCGTCACTGGGGAGGCTCCACCTGCCCAGCCAAACATTCAGGAAGGCAAAGCGTTGTGAAGGGCTGCAGTCCCACCTCAGAGCACAGTCCCCCCACTTGCCCCAGGTTTTACTTCTCTTCAGGGAGAATTTCTAAAATTTCTCTATGAGGAACAATTCTCCTAAAACAAGTGTGAAAACACAGAACATTAGAGCTAACTGGGCTTGCAGTGATCTCAACTGAACTCACTTTAGAGATGAAAACTGAGGGGGCAAGAAAAGGGGTGTATGACGTGCCTAAGTTCTATAACAAAGGACTTACAGAGATGGGACAAACTCTAACCCATGTCTCCTAGATGGACTCCGAGCTTTCCCACTATCACACATGGCCTCTCTAGAAGATGCTCAAATGTTAAAAGTGTCACATGTTGCCCTCACCAGAAAACTAGGTCTAAACTACCGTTATAAGAGATAAGGAATTTAAAACTATTTTTTTAGATTGAAAGATACTAATTTTTTTTAACTTTCTAAAGAGTCTATACTTGGTTCCTAATCTCTGATTCAAAAGACATTTTTAAAATAAATACTCTAAAAAATGCATTGACTCATATACAATTATGCTCTAGCCTAAAACTTGAATATAAGCAGCAACATATTCTTAACTTATTTCTTGTACTATATTCAGACAGGAAATTGTATGGAATTCTGATACTAATATAGACCATGACAAGTGAACAGTAATGAAGGCAGACAGAAAATGAAGCTGGTACAGTTGAAGATTATAGAGGTTAACGTACATAAAATAATCAAGCAATGATACACGTACAAAGTACTTTAAAACACTATGGGTAGAAAACATTTCTGACTACAGTTTGCTAGCATGGAGGTTCTTTTTATCTTTTAAATCACAAGTTTTTCTGGCTTGGTCTTGAGTCAAAACTTCCACCACTCTTCTAGGCAGTGGTTCCACAAACAAATTTCTTTCAAGCAGAGTTTCCTTCAATATATATTTTCCTCCTTTCCCTAAAATTTCTCCTGAAAATCATAAATTATTGAAAACATCTACCCAACCAATGCAACGTAAGTCAGAAGTCACTTGACCACTATAGCTTTAACTGATCTGTTCAGCAACTAAGTATCAATATATGTACAAGGATTTCTTCTAAGACTTCTATAAACAAAAATGTTAAAATTCAGTCAAAAGTATTCCAAGTTGGTAGTTCTTTTACATATCTATGGAGGTGCTTTAAACTTTTTCATCATAACATCCAATTTTTTTTATGACTCAAAGTTAAGATTAGTATCTCAGATCATATGTGAAATTCTATCACATATAAAACAGTTTTATTCTCTCACCAAAATAAACTAATCTCTAATCATTTTTCTCAAATGGGTCATGAAAACCAGTACTTTGTAGTTATGTTGATTTGTTCTTTCATCAAACACATATCCATTCCTTTTTAAAAAACAATCTTCCTAATGTACATTCATGAATGCTTCCCAACACACCATGATTCTCTTTTCTTATATAAAAGCACAGCATTTTCAAACACTTCCCTTACCATGAGGAACATTTTTTTTAACCTTCATGTGATCATGGAACACTCTATAAAGGTATAACTTATATTTTTGTTCCAATTTGTGATCTTTACCAAAAAAAAAAAAAAAAAAAAAAAAAAAAAAAAAAAAAAAAAAAAACCCACCAGCTCTGCTTCTTTTCTTCTAAGACTAGGAAATTTTGGGGCCCCTGGGTGGCTCAGTCGGTTGAGTGTCCGACTTTGGCTCAGGTCATGATCTCGCAGTTTGTGAGTTCGAGCCCCGCATCAGGCTCTGCGCTGGAAGCTTGGAGCCTGGAGCCTGCTTCGGATTCTGTGTCCCTCTCTCTCTGCCCCTCCCTGGCTCACACCATGTCTCTCTCTCCCTCTCTCTCAAAAATAAACATTAAAAAAAAATTTAAGACTAGGAAATTTTTCTGATTGACTAAACAGACATTTACAACTCCATTTTTAAACACTTTCACTGACTTATCTGAAAGTCTTAAAAAATACTATTTAGTAAGTTACAACCAACAAACTTCAGTTAGCTTTTCAATTATTTCCCAATTATACAATCTGGAGCTTCAAAATTTCCTTTGCATTCAACTTATGTCTCTCTTGGTTGGTAATCATGTTTAAAGGAAACACTCCTCACATTGGATGCAATGTTTGTTTTGTATACAAATCATTTCAGTGACGTCACCCAAACAAGTGCTTGTGAATTAGTGAGGAAATAGATTTATAAAAAAACTGGGTGGCTGAGTTGGTTAAGTGTCTGACTTCGGCTCGGGTCACGATCCCACAGTTCATGAGTTCAAGCCCCGCTGTCAACTGTGCTGACAGCTCAGAGCCTGAAGCCTGCTTCAGATTCTGTGTCTCCCTCTCTCTGTGCCCCTCCCCCGCTCATTCTCTGTCTCTCTCTCTCAAAAATAAATAAACATTAAAAAAAAAAAAGCCAACTGGTATCTCTCTGACAGACCAGAATTAAGAAAGTAAAGACCGAGGGGAAAAAACAGTGGCTCCAGTTTTAACACTGTTCCTTATCTCCATTTGTTTGTAACCTTAGATAAAGATTACCTCCTTAATGCTTACAGAAAATCTGTGTCATAAAGATGCTGTGAGAAATAATGGTTGGCGACCACAATGCAAATATCATGAAGCATCCCTTCTGAGTGAAGGAGACGAGAAAGAGGGGCACTGCTGAAGCACCACGTATAAGAATACAGGGGCAACTGTTTCTTCACAACAATTTTTGGCATGATAAGACAAGCTATGTTTTTTAAAATTTTTTTAAAAGTTTATTTTGAGAGAGAGTGCAAAGGGCAGAGAGAGAGGGAGAGAGAGAGAATCCTAAGCAAGCAACGCACTGTCAACATGGAGCCCAACGTGGGGCTCGAACCCACGAACCGTGAGACCAAAATCAAGAGTCAGGAGTATAACTGACTGAGCCATCCAGGTGCCCCAAGACAAGCTATATTTACTCACATCGTACAAATAAAGAAAAGTTCCAATGAAGAATAGTAAAAGAAAATGCTACTTTGTACCTGAGCTTAAGTGTGAAAAGCAGACATTCCAAGTAATGAAACAGATACCACAGAATACAAACAGATGCAAGTACTTCTGTATGAAGCCAAAACACACACAGTCGTGACATACACCTGTACATTATTGACTATGCTCTGTTTTGGCAGTACCAGTACGTAATGCATAAAATGCAAAGTCCAATAGGGAACAGAATATGCCTATACAGAATCAAATTTTATCATTCCAGAGAAAACTTCTTCGAAAATACCTAGGACATACTCTAATTTTAGGTCGTGTTCTTATTTTTTAAATAACATTCATAAAATTAAAATTCATATTTTTTAACATTCATAAAATAATTGTTACTATTTTTTCCAAATTATCTAAATACCAAAATCAATTACATTTATCTATTCCTATCCATTTTGTGGAATCAACCATGGCTGAGTTTCTCGGAGATAAAAATACCAAAAAGTGAAAATAACAAACATGATTGATTTTATTTACAAAACACACAAAAACATACAAAAGCAAAACTCCTACTCAGAAGAAATAGTACTACTTATTTATAAATTGCTAACAGCATACCTAGAAAGATTACCATTAAATTAAGATCTCACATGCAGAGACTTATTTGTTATCCACAAAGATATTTTTTATATTCTCTACAAAGCCAAGTTAGCTAGCAAATATAAAAATAATGTTTCAGTACTTTATTCACCCATCATTTTTAAACATTAATTACAACAAGAACTGATAAAAACAAAACTACAGAAAACTCGATTTTGAGAAGTCAAGGCCAATACATATTAAGTCAAGTTTATCTGAAATCAGAGACAGTACAAAAATGATATAAGAAGCAAGGGAATAAATACCAGGACCTGATCTGAATTATCAAGAGGCTCTCCTGGAGAGGTAGCATTAAACTTGACCTTAAAGAAGAAACTGGGCATCATAAAGCAAATCCCATAGGACAAACATAACAAAGATACAGAGGCAATGAGACAACAAACATCATGTTAAGGAAAGCAAGGAGTTAAAAAAAAAAAAAAAGGCCTATCGAAATTAAAAGCAAGTATCTTTCTTTTAAGTAATTTCTATGCCCAATGTGGGGCTCAAACTCACAAGCCTGAGATCAAGAGTCAAATCAAGAGTCACATGCTCTACCAACTGAGCCAGCCAAGCACCCCAAAGCCAGTATCTTTTGACCCAGCAATTGTCTCTTGAACCAGCAACTGCTCTCTTAGAACCTTGCCCATACACGTATGAGACTATCCACTGCAGCACTGTCTCCAACAGCAAAAGAAATGGTCTATATAACCACTGGTAGGGGACTGTATATAAATTATGATATGACCATAAAGTAGAACACTATGTGGCCATGAAATGAACAGAGAAAGAAAGTTATTGATACTAATATGAATCACTTCAAAGTAGGAAAAAAATTTTGTTACCACTTGTTAAAAATTATACACACACACCCCACACTTGTATATACACAGAGTATCACCAAAAGGATACAAAAAAATCTAGTAACTATGAATGCTTCCAGAAAACAAAATGAATGGCTGGTAAATAGAGTAAAAGAAAAAACTTTCATTGTATATTCCTTTTTTCATCTTTGGAAATTTGGAGCCATTTGTATTTTATCTATTTAAAAAACATAAACTTAAAGGTACTTTTATGAAAAGGAAAAGGACAGGAAAAGCAGGACATACTAGGTAGCAGTAAGAAGTGTGGTAAGTAGATATGCATGTTGAGAAGGTCAAACTTTGGCAATTGTTTACCTGCTGGCTTTTGGTCTGAGTAGGGAAAAAGAAAGAATAGCTTTGGTGGTTTCTATACCCAAAGGTGCTGATTACATTTACAGTGTATTTTTTTTCTGCATTTATTTAATGAATGAAAGCTGTTCCTACTTCCAGATGCATGTTTTTATTTCATTCCAAGGGATCAAATTCCCGAGACACTGTCATAGGTTTTAATCAGGAAAATGGGCTTCCTAACATTTTTTTTTAATGTTTTATTATTTATTTTTGAGCGAGCACACACAAGTGACGGAGGGGCAGGGGAAGAGGGGGACAGAGGATCTGAAACAGGCTCTGTGCTGACAGCAGAGAACCTGATGCAGGGCTCAAACTCAGGAACCATGAGATCATGACCTGAGCCGAAGTCAGACACTTAACAGACTGAGCCACCCAGGCGCCCCACTTCATAACGTTTTTAAAACATTTATTTGGGGACCATAAATATAACAAAAACATAGTTCAAGACTCCCTACACTTCTACATAGGCACACTATAGGAACTTTACCCTGCATACCTAAAAGGAGTAACAGCTTTAAGAAGAAAGCCCCACACCTCCCTCACACCTGGGTGTTGTACAGTAACCTTACACTTAAGCTTTATCCTGGATATAATCTCAAGATCTAGATCTAACCAAGAGAAAATTATTCTTTGATTAAAATACAATGGGGAACAATCTCAATTACTGCAGAACTAAATGAAAGCCCTGCGAACAACACACATTCTACTCTCATCAGTCAGTAAGGAAATCTAAGAGTTCATGTGTATTAGGAGTCACTCCATTTCTCAACTTTTTTTTTTTTTAAGAAAATAATCCAATTTATTCTCTAGGGAATGGGGCCACCCCTCTCAGATCTAGGGTGCCGTCCATCCTTAAATAAACAGAAACTTGGTTACCTTTTCCAAGAGTCCTTTCCTTTCATCGGTAAGGGAACAGGATGTGCAAAATTAAGCAGCTAAAAATAAAATCATGCTCACAGGCTACAGAAACTTTATACAAAGGGCAGAGATGTGGGCAGACTTAGAAGAAAAGTACAATTCTATTGAATACAAGTTTCATACTGTTTCTAAACTGATTAAGAATAAAGGACCTGAGGGGCACCTGGGTGGCTCAGTCGGTTAAGCATCCAACCCTTGATTTTGGCCCCTCCCCTACTCGTGCTCTTTTTCTCTCCCAAAATAAAAAAATAAGTTTAAAAAAAAAAAAGAAAGAAAGAAAGAAAGAAAAATAAAGGACCTGAGTCACCATGGGGACCAAGCAGAATAGTATAAAGTTAGTTGGTGAGCTTTATTCAGGCATGTAGACAAATTACTGCTCACACATCTATCATTTACCAACTCCACAAAGACCTGGGTTCTAATTCTGGTCCTACACTTACTAGATGCTTAAGACTGAACAAGTTTACCTCCTCTCAGTTTTATCTTTTTTAAAATGGGGCTAACCCTTCCTACCTTGACAAATTTTATTGTTGGGTTTTTTAATTAAAGTCAGACATAAAAGACGTAAAGTACTGGGCACATAGCATTCAATAAATAGAAACTATTTTTATATAGTTTATAAAACATATAAGCTATATAAAAACATATAAAAATATGTATGTATTTATAAATATATAGTTTACAAAACACAAAGACTAAGTCCCTACCAAGAGTCTAACTAGGAGACTGTGTTAGAAATGTTAATATTAAGTCCAAACTTGGTTAGTGGTAAATGAAACCGTCATTTCCACCTTTCCTACTTAGAGTCAAGAAACTTTAAAATCCTGGGGCACCTGGGTGGCTCAGTCGGTTGAGCATCTGACTTCAGCTCAGGTCATGATCTCGCAGTTTGTGAGACCCACATTGGTCTCACTTCTATTAGTGTGGAGCCTGCTTCGGATCCTCTGTCCCCCGTCCCTCTCCCCCTCCCCCACTTATGCTCTCTTAAAAAATAAACATTAAAGATTTTTTAAAATTAAAAAAAACAAAAGAAACTTTAAAATCCTTACAAAATTTATCTCCTCTGGAAGGGGATTTAAGTGGCATGATATATAAAAGAAATTTCCTTCAAAACAAAGACCAGGGGGAACAACAGTCCATCACCTCAGATCCTCAAGGCTAGACTTTTCAAGTTAAGGTAACAAATGACAGTTCTGTTTATTACCTTTTAAACATTTCTTTATATTACTAATATATCTAAACTACTATTAGGCAATAGAGCAAGAAAAATAGCTAACTTTTACTAAAGCAGGCTGTTGTGTTTTTTGTTTGTTTGTTTTTAAAGGAGAGGAATATACATTAGATGCCCACATCCTGACTAGCAAGAGCACGGACACGCTTCAGGAGGATAAAATCAGCAGAAGGTAGCAAAGACTGTTGTCAAACACCTGCAGTGCCTCAAATCTGCCACTACCTGAATCCCTACAGAGATGACTAACCAAGGAGAAGAGGCAGATTCCTCTGACAGCAAGGCTGTTTCCCTTCTCAAGTGAGGCCAGAGACAGCAAGGAAAACACAGTGACTCCACAGGCACATTAGGATGTGGCCCACTTACCTTCTGAAAACTGAATCCCGATGGACTAGCCTTGACTAGTCTTCTAACACCTTTAGAACCCAGCCCAAACAGTGAAATGTAAGGCACATATTTCTGCAGTTGCATTTGAATTTTTTTTTAGTTGAAATAACAAGATGGTGTATATGGTAATTATTCTTCATAAAAGTTTGAAAGTATCTAATATCTAAAAGCTATAACGAACTTATCAAACTCAACACCCAAAAAACAAATAACTTAGTTAAGAAACGTAAAGAAGATACGAACACTTTTCCAAAGAAGACATCCAGATGACTAACAGACACATGAAAAGATGCTCAACATCACTCATCATCAGGGAAATATAAATCAAAACCACAATAAGATACCACCTCACACCTGTCAGAATGGCTAAAATTAGCACAAGAAACAAAAGCTACTAGCAAGGATGCAGAGAAAGGGGAACAGTCTTACACTGTTAGTGGGAATGCAAACTGGTGCAGCCATTCTAGAAAACAGTATGAAGGCTCCTCAACAAACTAAAAACAGAACCCTACAACCTAGCAATCGCACTACTAGGCATTTATCCACAGGATACAGATGTGCTTTTTCGAAGGGACACATGAACCACGTTTATAGCAGCACTATCAACAATAGCCGAAGTATGGAAAGAGCCTAAATGTCCATCGATAGATGAATGGATAAAGAAGATGTGGTGTATATATATATATACACACATACATGCAATGGAGTATTACTTGGCAATGAAAAAGAATGAAATCTTGCCATTTGCAAGTACGTGGATGGAACTGGAGGGTATTAGGCTAAGTGAAATTACTCAGAGACAGACAAAAATCATATGACTTTACTCATATGAGGACTTTAAGAGACAAAACAGATGAACATAAGAGAAGGGAAACAAAAATAATATAAAAACAGGGAGGAGGGCAAAACAGAAGAGACTCATAAATATGGAGAACACACTGAGAGTTACTGGAGGGGTTGTGGGAAGGGGGAGGGGCTAAATGGGTAAGGGGCACTGAGGAATCTACTCCTGAAATCATTGTTGCACTATATGCTAACTAATTTGGATGTAAATTTTAAAAAATAAAAAAAATTAAATAAATAAATGACATTAAAAAAAAGAAACTAAAAATAGAACTTCCTTGTGATTCAGTAAGTGCATTATTAGGTATTTACTCAAAGGATACAAAAACACAGATTCAAAGGGGTACATGCACCCCAATGTTTACACAGCATTATTAATAATAGTCAAATTATGGAGAGAGCCCAAATGTCCACTGACTGATGAATGGATAAAGAAGATGTGCTATGGGGCGTCTGGGTGGCTCAGTTAGTTAAGGGTCCAACTTCAGCTCAGGTCATGATCTCACGGTTACTAAAGCTGAGCCCCGCATCAGGCTCTGTGCTGTCAGCTTGGAGCCTGGAGCCTGCTTCGGATTCTGTGTCTCCCTCTCTCTGCCCCTCCCCTACTTGAGCACTCTCGCTCTCTCTTTCTCTCTCTCTCTCAAAAACAAATAAACATTTAAAAAATTTTCTTAAAAGATGTGGTATATATATATTATAATATATATATTATATATATATACACACACACACAATGTATTGTATGTATACAATATATACAATGGATTCAGCCACCAAAAAGAATGAAATCTTACCATTTGCAATGATGTGGATGAAGAATGTGTTATGCTAAGTGAAATTAATCAGAGAAAGACAAATACCATATGATTTCACTCATATTTGGAATTTAAGAAACAAAGCAGATGAACATATGGGAGGGAGGCAGTAAGAGAAGAGAGGGAAACAAACCACAAAGGACTCTTAATGATAGCGAACAAACTATGGGTTGATGGAGGAGGGTGGGAGACAGGCTAGATGGGTGATGGGTACTAAGGAGGGCACCTGCTGTGAGGAATACTGAGTACTGTATGTAAGTGATGAATCACTGACTTCTACTCCAAAGCCAATACTTCACTGTAAGTTGGTTAACAAAAATTTAAATTAAAAAAAATTTTTTTGAAAGAATCAAGGAAATTTTGTCTAGTATGTTTTCCTAGAGCACCTAAGTTATTTATAAGGGCTTTGTTTTCAGAACAAAATATCCTACTCCCTGTGTTTGTGTGTGTGTGTGTGTGTGAAAAAGAGTGCATGAGAACATGTGTGCACCAGCAGGAGAGGGGCAGAGAGAGAGAGGGAGAAAGAGAATCCCAAGCAGGCTCTGTGGTGTCAATGTCATGTTAGTGCAGAGCCCGACCTAGGGCTTGATCTCGTGAACCGTGAGATCATGACTTGAGCCAAAACCAACAGTCAGACACTTAACGGAATTAGCCACCCAGGCACTGCCCCTACCCTTTGTTAAAGTCATTTTTAATGTCTATATATTAAACATACACATTTGTCTAGTCAAATGATCCAACTCTTGTTCTTCTCATTTTAATAACAAAACAAAATAAAAGCCAGTCTTTATTATTTAGAATACCACCGCTTCATAGGAAATTGTTCCAGGAATAGTATGAAGACTAATATTGATTTTTAAAATATGCTTCATTAAGTAATACTTACCTAAAATTTGGCATGATCTTCCAAACAACATAAAATAAGGACTCTGGGCTAAATGCAGTCTGGCTACCTTGCCATAAAGCACAGAGTGTCTTTCTAAACTCTTCGACCAAAGACCTGGAAAAGAAGAAAGTGAGAGGCTACTATTTCAATGCATAATGTCCAACTGGCTACAACTCATAATAAAAAAAAGTGAAAACATATATGCTTAACTTGGATGTAAATTTAAAAAAATAAATATATTTTAAAAAATGAAAACATAAAAAGGGTTTGGTTTCTTCTAACCTAATTCTGACAGTTAAGTAAGAGCATCTCAAAAACCCACATAAAGAGCAGCAATTATAGACAAAACTAGGTTTTTTTAACCCCACAACGAACATTGAGTGTGCCAGAGTAATGGCATACTTGTACAATAAAGCAATAGAGAAGTTACAAATTACTTCAAAATGTACATTTTTAGAAAACTTTTTAAGTAACAGAATCTCTTTCTCCATTTCCTGTAGTTTTCCTTCTTACCACTTACAAGGAGCACTTCCCAGACCTCAGTGTGTGAGAATCGGCTCATTTCTGTCTGAGACAATTCATCTGACCACAAAGCTTCGACACTCAGCTCTACATCATGACTCCCAAATCCAAATCTAAAAGCCAGATTCTCTCATGACCACATTTCAGTCAGGTTTTTCCAGTTTCCAAGGGGAATTTTCTTCTGAATGTCCTTTGTCACTTCAAACCCAATGTACACTAAAGCTGCTCTCTATACTCTCTCTACTACCGCCCAATAACCATTGTCTTCTCTCATAGGAACAGAACTTCCATTTTTTGCTTGGTGTAAGAACTCCTGGAATAAAAAACTTTGAGTGTGTTCAACTTCTGAGAAATTTCCTTAAAGAGAAAGAGTAGTCGTCATTAATCCCTTCCTTCTTCCTTCTAGCTGAAAGGACAAAATGGTGGCGATCCAGCACCACTCTGAACTATGTGGATGACAGCCCTACCCTAGGGTTGGTGGAACAGAAAGCTAGAAGGAGCATGATGATGGTGTCAAACAGCCCTAGAGGGATAATCTCTAACTTTTACACGAGAAAATAAACAACGGTTGTTTAAGTCACTATTAATTTTGTTTTCCTATGTAGGTAGCTAGAATGAAACACCTCCAATAACCAGTTAAACTGAAACATCACCAAACAACTTCAACACCTGTGTCTGTCAATACACCTACCATCCTCACAGATACCTGACTGGTTTCTCAGAGAATCTCACTAATAGCTCAACCTTTGTCATCCAGTAAGTAGTGTGCTCATAAATCATATTTTTTGCTTCCTAGTACCTGAACCTTCTTCCTGTATTTGAGGAATTCCCCACGTTAAGAGTCTGGGTAAGAGTCAGAGCCTGCTTCCCACTATGGAGGTTGGAAAGCCCAGATACTTGCTTTCTCAAACCACCTTGCAGCCAGCACTCAGGTACATGGCCTGGGTCCTGCCTATTTGAAGCAGAAGTTAGTGAGGCGAAGAAGCTGGGGCAGTGGCAAATTCCTTCTGATGACAAAGAACATCACCTGGAGTACAGAGGCAGCAATAATAGCAGAAACCGCAGCATTCACCCAGCACTCAACTCCAGCAGTGCTGGCAACAGGAACTCTGGTGTCACAATGGGAAGTGTGTTAGAGGACAGTAATATCCTTATGGGATAGTTCCATGGGGTGATTGTGGCTATGGTTCTGGATGTCTAGATGCCAGACCTGATTTTCCACCCATCCAGTAATAGCTTACCAACAGACTTTTAATAAATTCTTTTTCTGCCTAAGATGGCCAGAGATAATTTCTGCAATTTATAACTAAACCCTAAATGACACTAATACATCAAGTACTACTCATACATCCCTTAATTTTTCTAAAAATGTATTTTTTCCTCCTTATTTCACTGCTATCCCCTCCAACCCAAATACTATAAAGTGTGAAGTCTCCTTGAATGCAGGCATTTTTCCAGTTCATTCTATATGCTGCTAGCAAAGTAAACTCTTAAGACATCACTTACAGTGGTATGACTATTCCCTACTCCAATGCCTGGCTCTAAAGTTCCCTGGTATTTTGGCTCTATGCAAACTGTACACTATTCTAACATGTTCTATTGTAATTTCCCTGAGCGTCTTAAGCAGAATAATGTCAGATCGTAAAATGGTTTTTCAGAATGTGTGGGGATGGGGTGTGTGGGAGCAGGAATGGGCAGGCAGAAAGAATATTACGTTAAAATATATACCAATTATAAAACATAGCCTTATTTCAGTAATGTTAAAATATGAAAAAATGTGCCCACTGATAATAGATAATAGAGATTATCTGAACCCCAAATAGAGCACAGCTGCACTGAATTTGCATACATATCGGTTCTCAATAATCATTTGTCAATTTTCCCTTCTCCGTGTCAACTAAAAATTGATTGCATTGCCCCATAATTAATGTGAGGACTACAAATTAATTTTATTAGCCAAAAGAGGTTTATCTACTATTATAAGACAAATCAACTCACAAAGGCTAATGATATTCATGCTGGTCTAAACCTAGAACTGTGTTTCATATATAGATGTCAATTTGAGAGCTCAAATCCACAAAGACTTAATAAGTAGAGAGCTAAATTTATCCTCCCATTAGGTAAACAGAAATAAAAGAATTCCAACAATTATTAAGATTACCAGCTACATACTTAAACACAATTTTTAGAAGAGTGTTTTAAAATGTATGTGCCTATTAACTCACATAATGAAATGGAAATCACCAGTAAGAGTCACTTGTTTTGTAGCTCAAAGCCAGAAAGGACATATTCTTAGAACTCACACATTGTTATCCCCTTGGCTCCTGGTGTGGTATGTTCGCCTTCCTGCTGTTTTCCCATTCCTTAACTCCACAGCGGGCAGTTCTTTGAAATAACAGCAAAACTGCTCAATGTTACTATTTTAAAAGGAAGGGAAGAAAATTATTTAAAAAAAAAAAAAAGAAAAGAAAAAAAAGAATTTACTAGGACTGTAAAGAAAGTTGTATAAAACCCACATGTGAATTTTGAAAATGTGATTTCACTTTCTCAAGAAATTGCTTTGAGTTTCCTCATTAAGTTTCTTCATTTACTCTAAGAAAACAGTATTAACAGATGACTTTGTAGAAATGAACAAAGAGCTTAAAGCAAAATCTCTTTAAAAAAAAATTCCTCACTTCTGGGGTGCCTGGCTGGCTCAGTTGGAACAGCATGTGACTCTTAATCTCAGGGCTGTGAGTTCAAGCCCTCATTGGGTGCAGACATTACTCATATAAATAAAACTTTAAAAAATGTTTCATTATATCCTCAATTCCCCTCCCCCAAAGGTTGTCACCATTTTTTTGGGGGGGGGGGTGCCTGTTTCCAGGTATTCAATAATTTCCTCAAATAAAAACAAACCATGAAACCAACCATATTGTTTAGATATACAGTACAGAGTAATAAGGAGAATTCTGCAGTGATTTGAGTTTCTTGTTTGAAAAAAACTAGATAAGTCAAGAGATAGTATCTTTAAGGTGGGACCAAGTATGATTTCTGTTCCTTATTAGCAAGGTGGCCTTAAGACGATAATTTATTCTGGCCTTTGATGGCGCATTAAAATCTACAAGTATATGGCTTTCAAAATAATTTCTTCTATATAACTGAGGTCAACCTTGTTGGGTATTTTATTTTTACTACTTATCTTACATTTTAAAGATCTTCTAAACATCTGATCTTATGATCATATTTAAGACTCAACTAATGGGGGGGCAGGGTACCTGGATGGCTCAGTTGGTTAGGCATCTGACTTTGGCTCAGGGCATGATCTTGCGGTCCGTGAGTTCAAGCCCTGCGTTGGGCTCTGTGCTGACAGCTCAGAGCCTGTTTCAGATTCTCTGTCTCCTTCTCTCTCTGCCCCTCCCCCGCACGTGCTCGGTCTCCTTTTCTCTC